ACCAGACTCTGCTTGCCCTTCTTTTTATCAAATACCTCTTAGAATGCCCTCTTCCTGTCTTGAAATGAGATTTTCAAAAACAATGCAATCTGTCTAGATACGCTAACTGAAAAACAGCAATAACAACAATATAATGCAAGATAGTGATCTGGTTGAGGACCGGAAGCCTGAAGCCAGTCTGGATTTGAATCCAAGCTCTGCCATTTCCTAGCCACGGGACCTTAGGCAAATTACTTGGCCTCCCAGCTTTATCTACTCTTCGATGTATTTGGGAAGTATGTACTACAACTTTACTCTGCCTCACTCTCCTCATCTCTGAAAATGGGGTAGTAGCACTTTCAGCCCCAAGGAGTTACTGTGAAGATCAAGTAGCTTTATGTACATGCCTTAAGATATACCCGAATCAGGTGTCCTGACACATCCCTGGAACCCCAGTGCTCTCAAGGATCAAAAGTAAGTTCTAGTCCAGCCTGAGCAACTCAGAAACTTATTGAGACCCTATTTCAAAATTAAAAATGGAAAAGGCTGGGAAGGTAGTAATGGAAGCTCGGTGTGAAGGGCCTGGATTTGATCTTTAGTACCACAAAATAAGAAAAGCATGGCACGCAGTAAATACTCCATTAGTTCTCAATTAGCTAAGAAAAAAAGAAAAAAAGAAAAAATACATGTTTTAAGACATAAGTGCTCAGGTATGGTTACATGAGAAAAACAAACAGAGTAGTCATATTCCAATTCATAATGAATAAATTTTGATTTTAGCTAAGTAAGACAATGTTCAATTACTGTTGATTTTTCTAAATAATGTTTGAAGTAACACAAATAATCATATTCAGATACATGTGTCAAATCACAGCGAATGTGACAGCTCCCCATGCAGACTGATACATAAGCAGAGCTGTGGTGCTAACTGAATTTTCTTCTTTCTTTCTCTCTCTCTCTCTGTGTGTTTTTGAGACAGCGTATTGCATGCAGCTCAGGCTGGCCTTGAACTCACTGTGTAGCCCAGGCTGACCTCACATTCATGGTGATCATCCAGCCTCAGGCTCCTGAGTGCTGGGATTACAGGCATGTGCCACCATGTTCGCTCTGACTGAATTTCTGAAATGGTGACAAAGTCTTTGTAAATTTCCATACAAAACAAATTGTTAGAGGACATTTCTTTTCTTTTTTGCAGTACTGAGAATTGAACACATGTCCTCATACCTACTAGGCTAGAAATCTATCATTGAGCTATCTCCTTAGACCTTTTAATTTTTTAAAATTTTGCAACAGGGTCTCTAAGTTACCGAGGCTGGCCTCACACTTGGCGTCCTTTACCTCAGTCTCAGAGTAGCTTTAAAAGTAGTCATACATCGTCCTGAGGCAATGTACAGTAAAAGCATGAAAATATTACTTTGTTTTTAGTCTCAACTAGTAACACCTTGAATGCTATTAATATTGTATAGGATATCTATCTCTCTATCTATCATCTCTCATCTATGTCTCATCTATCTGTTGCCCCTTAAGAAACTGTTCCAGCCCAACAGTGAGAACCATGGAGTTAATCATCAACTCATCAATCTCCTCAGCTTTCATTCACTTCAGGGTCTGTCATCCCCACCTTATCTCCACCCATCAAGGTCTTACTGTGCTTTAATGACCAAGGTATGTGCCGAGTCTATCCACCATGGTGTTCATTCAACCAGGTTCCTGCCCGCCACCCTGGCTTTCCTTGCCCTTTTATTCAGTCTCAGTCACGTGGCACTAGTCACATGTTGTGCCCTGTTCTCTTGGTCTGCTAAATAGTCTGCACCCCCTTTCTGCCTAGCTGCGAAGCCCTCAGGTTCTAGCCCACACTCCATAAAAACAGCAAAGAGTAAATAAGGTAGGAAAGGGTTTTATATGTGATTATCAAAAAGCTGAAAGTTTCAGTCAGAAATTAGAGATGTTGTCAAGTATGTTGGAGACAATTTTTTTTCCAGAAATTTGAGCATTGATTTATTTTCAGGCATAATGCTAAAATTTTTACTTCGTTGATTTGTAATGTTGAGACTCAGAAAGCTACTGTAGTCATTTTTATACATGTCTTACCCACATTCTACCAAATCAGTGATACCCCTGTATATTGTATTGTTCAAAACGTGAGTATAAAATGATTTGCTTGCTTTTGGGATTAGAACCAAAGCAAGGTGAAAAATATGTGTTTGGTAAAGTTCAATAGCAAAGCTTAAAGGCTGCCTCCCCCAGAGGGATTGGCAGTGCAAGAGAAGGAAATGCCTTAAAAAGGAAGAAATAAAACTGTAATTCTGACATTTCTGGCACCAGAGAGTCGGGGATGTTTTACAGATGGTGTTAGAATATCTTCAGGCAGCCTACACATCATAGCTTTTCTGAGAGATGGATAATCTTCTAGGATGTGAAAGTATGAAATTGCAGCCTTCACAAGAAAAATATGCATAAATATCAGTTAATCAAATGGTCTTTACTGGGGACCCTAAACTCATTCACGAGGACACAAATTTCAAAGAGGAGCCGTACCTGCTCTCAAAGAGCTGACAGTCCAGTCAGGAAGGCAGACATAAATGGTACAGCTATGCACTTTGCTGGGCCTACTTCAAAATGAAAATATGAGGTCCTTGTTTATAAATTATGAAGAACTTTGAAAGGATAACAGCACAGCATTAAACCAAGCATGGGTTCCTTCTGAGAACAGGGACATGAGGAATGCATGTCATATGCTCTGCTTACACACAATTTTAATTTATAACAACGTTCGGTCACAGATGTGCACTACAAATCTAGATTTCCAAATCACAGCCCTGAAAACCAAATAACTCTCATGAGTCTATTCCCCAAGAAACAAATTTTCTACAAGCAAAAGCTGGAACTGTAAAACAGCCTGGAATTTGGAAAGTGGCTGATGTAATTTCAATTAAAAAAGAAACCTCTCCCCTAATTATAACGAACAGGAGAAGAGTTCAACACATTAAATATTTTGCTTTAGGTTTATATAATCACCTGACACAGGCGTCACATTAGGACCAGAATTCCCCCAACACATGGCCTCCATTCTGTCAACATTCAGTAAATATTCTCCTTCCCACAAATGGCCAGAAAGGGCTCCATAGCCTACAGCTCTTACTGACCCCTTGTGGTACAAAGTAACTCACCTCTTTCATCTTCCTTTGTAAGTATCAAAGCTGAGATCAGAACAAACAAAAGGTCTATTTTCTGATCTAGAAACAATAGAGTCAAAGAGAAAAGGTTCATTCTGGGGGCAGAAGTAAATAATTCAGTGAATGTCAACTGAATTCTCAATTTCAAGATGAGTTTGTAATAGCTGATATTCCATATAAAAGTTATGGTCATTTGATTGCAGAGGTTAAGGGCCACACTTTCAAAAGTGAAATAGAAATTTTGTGGATGGCATGTTTTATGCTGTTGCTTTTTTGTGTTGTGAACTGCTCTAAGGAAAAGTCTATGTGATTGAGAATTGAGGATGGTTTCAGGACATGTTTCATTGAATTGATGTCCTCAGCCCAATAGCTCTTGGGAGATGGAAAACTCCTAACAACCACATGAGTGAGCATAGAGAAAACTTCTTCCCTTGTCAGGCCTTGAGATGCATGTAGTTCCAGGTGACCCCTTGATCACAGCCTTGTTGAAGATCTTTAGCAGGAGAACCAGCGTTACTGGGGCAGATTCCTGAAACCCGAATCCACACAGACCATAAGATAATAGATTGCTGGTTAAGGTGCTAAATTTTGGAGGGTTCTGCTGCGCAATGGAAGATAAATATTGTGGTTGGGATACGGTTTGAGTGTGTTCCCCAAATGGTCATGTGCCGAAGGCTTGTTCCCTAGTATTGAGAAGTGGTAGATATTTAAAGGTGGTGCCCCGTGGAAGGAAATTAGATTATGAGGGCATCACCTTTTTGAAGGGATTGATGTAGGTCTTCTTGTGGGATTGGAATGGTTCCCGGGAGAATGAATTGTTACAGAATTGAATTCAACTATCTCAGCTCACTTCTGTGCTGTCTCACCAATGTGATCTATTCTACAGCATTTCCTGCCATTGTGATGCCATCTGCTCTCACCAGGGCCAAACAGATGGCACTCATTAGCTTCAAATTGTGAGCAAAGTAAACATCTTGTCTTTTAGTTCCCAGCATTAGGTATTTTGTTATAGTTCAGAAAGTAGACTAAAATGGTAACTAATACATACAATATTATAGATACAGAACCTGGAAGATTGCAATGAATGCGACCATCTCTAATGGCTTATTTCCTTTACTTTGAGAGAAGAGTATAGAAGTACTGAGAATGAATTCTTTTCTTAAGAACGTATAGAAGAATAAGATTTTGCTGTTTAAAAGAAGAGATAGGAGGATTTTTTTTGTAATAAGTTCAAATACATTTAACTTTCAGCCAGTCATTTCCTTTTATTACTGTGAAGAAAAGATTTCACAGTAAAGACTCTGCTAGATATGCTGCCAAAGAATAGTGGGTTAAGGCAATTTTTATCCTAAACTGCTTTTTACAAGTTTATCTCTACTGTGTGGTAGAGCATTATGAATAACAAGGACAGGAAAAAAGAGGGAGATTTAAGAAAAGATTGACTCTATTAAAAGGTGATGATTAAAATGTGGTATATGAACCTAATACACTGAGAATATCTGCACATGATCTCCCCCTCCATGCCTATAAATAAGCACCTTTGTCTCCCAAACCAGGAAAGCAGTGCCAAATATTTATACATTCATCTTGGAAATGAGCAAACTAGGTAGTATTTGCTAATATATGAAGTCAGATAGATGGAGCATACCTGCTTTGATGTACTGTGTCTTAGATAGTGAATCAAAGAGGGGTTCAAAAAGAGTAAGAAGGAAGAAAATAGAATTGAGGAAGTAATGATGACACTTCCTTTTCTTTTGTAAGAACTTTATGTTCTGGTCAGCTGTTAATGATAGCTCTGTGTGGCTGCTCAGAGCAGAATCCTCAGCTTTCACCTCAGAACACTATGAGTTTTCTGAATTCAGGGATAAAGAGGCAGCTCTTGGATATACGCTCTGTATGCTGCATGTAAGTACAGTCACTCTTTGGCTGGTACATGAGAAGTAATCGCTTGACATATGAAGATGGTACAAAAATGTATACTCTGACAGTCTCTTTAGAATAGTGAGGTCTGAAATGTGGCTCTTGGGATTTGATATTTGCCTTAGCTCTTTATAAATCTGATGTTGCGAAGTCCTGTGCTAAAGGCATTGTAATTCTATTAGAGCTTTGGAGAAAGTTATATAAGCTCTCTGCTTTTCTCTTTTTTCCTTAGGTGAGTGTTGTTGAGTTCATAGTTGTTTGGACTGCTGACCACAGTTTAGTTTAGAAAAACTCATTTCAGCATTGTTTTGGTCCCAAAGAGTTCACTTGGAGGCAACACCCTGTCGTCACCCTTTTTTTCCTTTTAGAGCAATTGTGTTTGGTGGGGATAATCCCCTTTTGGTTCCAGACAGCTGATAGGGGTGATTCTTCTCTCAGATAAAGGTCACAGGCTAGACAAAACATTTCTGGTATGAAAATGAGGGCTAGGTGTTGTTGGCACCTGAGGTTCTTGGATTTCATTATGTGTAGAAGAATTTAATTGTACGAGTCAGAGTCAGAATTTCTGTACATGTAGAATTTAACTGTAAGAGTCAAAGGATCTCTGACTATACTAGTGGATTTTATTAGTCTTAGGCATCTATGAATTTCTAATACTCTCCTAGGCATTATGTATTTGTACATACAGTCTGGTTTTTACACAATTATTTACTTCACATGGAATATAGAAATAGAAAGAACATAGATTTCTTTCTGGTGCTGTCACACAAGTGAGAAGGAAAAGGAGTTAAAGTCTGTGCACTTGTTGATGTACTCATTCTTTTTACTGTTTAATTGCTTTTTTTTTTTTCTTTATATATCAAATGTCTTTCCTCCAGAAGGGCTGTACGTGAACACTTCAGGCAAGTTGCATCAGACAAATGCACATCACCAAAGAACAGAAATAGGAAGTTCTTTCCTGCGGTAGTTTGCTGTGGCAATAAGAGATAAGAAATTACTACATTGCTGTTGCCTGAGACTTTCCTTTTGACTTGTGTGTCCTTCTTGAACAGCTCACTTCTGCTTTCCATCTGGCTTGGACACTAGGCAGTATGAACTGTTAACCAAAACACTGGTTAACAATTTGCAAGTAAGTTTAATGTGACAAATGTTTAATGTATTTGTGAAGAAAAACCTAAAAAAATAAGCTTTTTGGTGTTGAAGGAATTCCTGCAAATGGGATAATTACTATAGTTCAGTGCTCAGAACAGAGCTCTTCACATTATGTTCCTTCATCAAACGATTGTTGAACAAATGAATGATTTGGACTTTTCATAAGATGAGTGTGGTATGGTAGAAATTGCATTATCTCCATCACCCAGACACTTAAAGTAAATATTGGAGGAATTCAAAGGGAAGCAGGAGAGAATATGAAGGCATGGAGTAAAGAAAGGACATGCAGAAGTGAGATGATCAAAAGGTCAATCAAGTGAAAGGTGTGGCAGTCTGATGTTTGAGCTAAAGATGATGGTGGAGGTGATAGTGTGGATAATGAGGGTGAAGGTAGAGAGAGTGGAGGTGCAGACGAAGGTGCAGAGTGTGGAGGTGATAGTAGAACTGGTAGGGGTAATAGAGGAAGAGAGAGTAGGGGTGGTGACTGATGCAGTTGCTGATGTACAAATGGTGATGGTGCAGATTATGGAAATAGTGTTGGAAGTGGTGGTAAAGTTAATGATGGGGAGGGCACTGTAGTATAGACACACACGCACACACGCACGCATGCATGCACGCACTCAGTTTTGGGCTCATACATCTGTTTAAAATCTGTATCTACCACTTAATAATTCTCTGACACTTAAGCCATACAGAAAGTGGTGAGTTTAATATATTGATCTTTCTGGGTTGTTGTGTTGGATAAAAATATGATTGCCACGTTCCTACCATACTCTGGTGATATGCATTTGCTTAAAGTGGCATCAAGAGGTGGGGCCTTTGGGAAGAGAAGAGGAATGGGAGGACCCCCTTCAGGAATGAGATTAGTACCCTGTGAAAAGAGTGCTCTTTCTCATCAGCTGCAAATATTGAGAAAGAACCATGTATGAGGACCACATCCTCATCAGGTGCTAAATAACCTGGCACCTAGTTCTTGAATTTCCAGCTGTTTGAACTGTTAGAAATAAGCTTCTCTTGTTTATATAAAGCCGAGTCTATGGTAATTTGTTGTAGTAGCAGGAATAGATCAGGACAAGCATTTATCAAAAATAAATGTTATAAGCTTAGTTATTAAATTGGTTGAACACCTGGTGAATGTCTATATATAGGAATCCTTTCAATAAAATGATATTCAAGGCAAATGTTATCTTGATGAAATACTGTCACAAAAGCAAGGACACAACTTTCCACTGTGCAAAAATATCATAGAGAAACAAGATTGAGGTGAAATATGCTAAAATATATAGATTGGATTTGTAGCTATGGTCACTTTTATATTTATACTTTTATATTAAATTTTTTTTATCAGTTGTACATACACGGCCCATCTTAATAATCTGAAAACAAAAATAAGTATTGAATGAAAATAAATGAACAAAAATATAACTTTCTTTTAGTCCTGTACTACACATAAAATAAAAATAGTTTTTAGTGATGCTGGGCTAAAGTTTGTGGTTTATTGTAATCTAAGAAATGACACTTACAGCTTATGGTGTTTAACCTTTGTAGGGGAATCCCTTTTGAAATCAAGGCTGGCATAGAGACAAATCAGCTCTGAAGTGAGAAGAGACATAGAGTCCCATCTGGAACCATCTGGTCTGATTAATTTCTAGAATCAGATGAAAATGGGGTATCGTTCTTGAATAATTATACCGGGTAACTTTCTAGCAAGTTCAATAGTTCAACAGTTAGTAGTTCCAAGTTAAATCTATATCTCTCAGCATCAGAGAATTTGTTTTTTGAGACAGTGGCTTGCTGTATAACCCAGGTTGGCCTCAGCATGATTCTCCTACCTTAATCTCCAGCATGCTGTAATTATGGGCATGTGCTCTCATGCCTGGGCCTGTGACTCACTTTTTAAGGAAGTGTTGATATATCGCTAATATTTTGGTGTAAATGGGGAGAAGTCATAAACACTATTTTGTAGAGTCAAGAAGTAATTTCTGCTAAGAACTTGTCCCTTCCATCTCATAGTGTTAACATGTCACTACAGAGTTCCTTATCAGAGACTTAAGCAAAATAGAACATTTTGGCTTGTAGAATTGAAAGGAATTGCCTGCCTTTCTCTTAGAAATGATCAAGTGAGAGATATTTGACAGAAAAAGAGGTGAAGGATCAAATGTTAGCAAAAACAACCTTCCCAAATGGGAACAGGTAATAAAACAGAAAGAACTGAAAGGTAAAAAGTTAACCAGTTAAACTCATCCTCAAATTACTAGAATGTTAATGAACCTCAGAAGAAAAGCTGAAAAAAATATGACTGCATGTTCAGTGAAAACTAGTTAAGTTTAGAAATGAATAACTTAATCAATCAAGCATTAGTACAGCATAAAATACAAGTTGAAATAGAAATAGCAGCCCAGTAGAATTTGTAACTGATAGTTCATGGTATATTCTGAATATTTTAGGTCTAGAGTACAAAATTAAAAAAGACCCAATGATGTGATTGAACACTGGATATATTCTAGCCAGAGCATTTGTATTCAGGTGCATTTAAATTTACAATTTTAGCCACTTCTCAAAACGGTCCTGGGAAATGGGGCTCTTGTCATTTCCATGAAACTGAAGCTTAGAGAAGTGAGATACCCTGATTCAAAATGCCACATGGAGTGGGGACAGATTCTTAGCATCTCTGACCCATCCTACACAGTACTACATCCTTTTTATTTATGCTAAATATTTTATTACATAAATAATTTTCAGCCAAGAGTTAGGATACAAAGGGTAAGAATGAGCAGATTCACTTTTTACTTTTGCCTTAAGTGAAATTCCTTTCTATGTCCTTAATGAGGCGGTGGTGGGAGGGAATTTTTCTTTATCCGAGGAACTAACTACCTGCTCCCTGATGTAACTGTGTGTACGGGGCTGTCAGTGTAGCTTACACCTGCTGCCCAGTGGCATCCTGTGCACAGTACTTCTCACCCAGCAGGACAAAAAGGCTCTCAAAACCTTCCCTGGGACATCCACAGTCAGTAAAGATTTGAAACAATTCTATCTCCCTAGGATCTTTCTTACTGCCAATTTACATGGCACCGCATCATATAAGTTGAAAACATCAATTTCTAATTTGAGTATCAAGGAACCCATATTGATGGGGGTTTATATGAAGCACTTTTTTTTTTTTAAGTGGGAACAACAAAGATCTAGTAGTTAGCAGAACTGTGTATTCTGGCTGTGGCATATAATAGTCATGTTTTACCACACAAGTCACTGAACTTCTTCACACTTAAGTTCTTTCTCATCTATAAAAGCTGAGATTCGAAATACCTAACAAATATGTTTTTGTGGGAGCCAAATGGGACTGAAAGTGCTTTAAAGAAAGCAAAAATTATTATAAACCAGTGGAGCCCTCCTTTGTTTGTATTCTATTTCCATCATATAGAGATTTAATTGGCATATAAGCCCTTTACTGCTCTAAAAGGATTAGATTAAAAGCAGTCTAGGGTGTTATGTGTTAAACTGTGAGTCAGGTATGGTGGCACATGCTTGTAATCTCAGTACTCTGAGAGGCTGAGACAGGAGGATGGCAAGTTTGAGCTCAGCCTAGGAAACTTAGCAAGACTTTGTCTCAGAATTTAAAGAGAGAGAGAGAGAGAGAGAGAGAGAGAGAGAGAGAGAGAGAGAGAGAGAGAGAAAGAGAGAGAGAGAGAGAGAGGGAGAAAACAGAGGAAAAAATAGAGAGAAAGGAGGGAAAGAGAGAGAGCTGGGCATGTAGCTCTTTGTGAAGAGACAGGTTTGATTTCCAGTAGTGAAATAAACGTATACATACATATATACATACCTACATACATCCAAATAAATACACATGAAGTCTTATCCCTCAGCACCTCAAGTTCTTATTTGGAAACAGTTGTAGTAGATGTAATTAATTAAATTAAAATGAAGTTGTACTGCAGTGATGTGAGACCTAATCTAATATAATGTGTCTTTATGTGAAGACTAAGGTTTTCAGAACTGTGAAAGAATACATTTCTCTTGCTTTTAGCCACTTACTTTGCAGTACTTTGTTATGACAGAACTAGGGACCTAATGGGGGGGGGCTAAAGAATAAAAGTCATTTTGGCTAGTCATCAGCCCTTCTACACTGCTGGCAAGCACTTCTCGGGACCAGTTCCAACATGACTCATTTCTCTGACTTTAACCTGTGGCACTGGGCCTCAAACAGTAGATCCAGTTTATCCTTGAATGGGAATGAATAAAGCCACTCAACAATGAAGTACATTTACAAAATGAAAATCAGGCTGCTGTGACATATAAAAGGGTGTCCTTTCAGAAATGAAGTCTAGCTAAAATCCTGAATTATTATGCCAATGTGGTAATTTACAAGCTATGGAACATCAGTTTCTATTATATATTGAAGAAAAGTTCACAAATTCTGAGTTGGAGAACAATGTGGTATGTTGGCTAATTGATCTAAATATAAAATTTAAAGCTCTGATCTAAGCATATAACCAAGAAGAATTTCTTAATTAATGAAAGTAGGAATTTTCAGTGATTTAGTCTGTAATTTTTTGTCATTTCAATTCATAATCTTGATTTGGTACTTCCATACTAGTTTTAGTGACAGCTTAAGTAGCCAAGATTTCAAACCTATTCTTGGGTTTCTCTTCAACATAAAAATCTTTTAAGTCTCCTATTCAGGGGAGTTTAAATTACCTTAAGGATATTAATCACAATCACCACTAGCAGAACAACATTCTTACAACAGGAAGATACCATGGCAGAAGGCTAGTTCATTTAATCTGTGCAAAACTAAAATTATGTGTTTGTTTTTCCTCTTAATTGATGCATATTTAAGTTTCTTTAGACTTATTAATTTTATATAATCTTTTTAAAAGATATCCAACAGAAATTTGTAATTAGATGGATTCTTTCACATTTGAACAAAAGGTTTTCTCCTGTCAGAAAGGATACTTCTTTTTAGGAGTTTTATGCATC